GCCCACACCCATCATTCTGGTTTTGTACGGGTATCTGGTGTACCCCTGGCTGATTGCCCCTGTTCCCTTCATCTCATCATGCCTTGGCTTGGCTCCTGGGGTGGCTCTGGCTGTCCGCAGCACTGGCCAAGGGAGGGTGATCTCCCTGAGGACTCGTCCTGCCTCGTAGCCCTGTGACTGGCACCGCTGTGCCCTTGGGCTCCCTGCTGCTTTTGGCTTCTCCTGAACCGAGTGCGTGGTCCTAACAGCCCTGCCAAGGCGGGGGTGACTTACAGCAAACCCCTCCCAGTAAAACTCCCTGAGCCCAAGGGTGGCCTCGAGGTCATTTGGAGCTCTCCTGGCAAAGAAAGGAAGTGGAGTTGTTGGCTTGGGGGCTCTGGGCTTCTCCCATTACACTCCTTTCCGCGGCGGAATGTAAAACACAGTTATGTGTTATGTTTGGGGCTGTCGTTTGCCCGCAGCCCCTCTCCCATTGTGCTGTGCCACCTCGGCTGTGGGACGTGTCTCCTGCAAAGCCAGGGTGGTGCCAGTCTCAGGAGATGCACCCAGTCCAGACAAAGTATGTGTAGGGAGAAGGCAGCTGGGCTGTGGCTGGGGGATACCCCCCTCCTATTGCAGCTGGTGGTCGTTTGTGTGTCGCTGGCACCCGGCTGCGAGTTAAATCACAGAAGAGAATAAGTTGCACCAGCAAGTTTGGGAAAGATTGTGCCCAGTCTTAGGGGGGCACCAGCTCCAGAGCAGCGAGCACCTGGGGAGTCACACCTTGTTTTAAGCTCAAATGCTTTTAACAAGTGGCTTAGTGAAAGCAGCAAGCTTTGCTCGCTGGGCTGCATTCCCCACTGGGGTCTGTCACAGGGGCTTGGGTGGCCTCCCTGGGCCATCTCTGCTTCGTGAAACCCTCCTTTGCCTCTTTCCTGGTGTCCTCTTCATGGCCTTGAATAGAATGAAAACTCACAGCAGCCGTTTGCACAGGAAGGTCTCCTGTTGATGTGGCTGTGGGAAAAACTGGTGGGTCCTCGTTGGAAGCCAGTGTTACTGGACTTGGAAAACTGGAGCTTTATATTAAGTCTATGCAAAATATTAAAAATTATTTTTAGGGCCCCACTCACTTGCATGCTGCTTTCCTTTACTTCCCAGAACCATGGGGTGTTAGGGAAAATAATGTTTTTTGCAGGACAGTCATTTCTTTTTCAAAGCATCTTCCTCTAATACACACCTAGAACCCCCCATCTTCCACCTCCTCCTGGGGGTGGGTCTGTGTGCTGCTTCTGTGGGGATTCAGGCAGTGAGGGGGGTGAGCCGAGCTGGGACCAGGTTGGGATGTTTGCTTATTTGTGCCCAAAAACTGATCCACGTTCTGAGCCGCTTGTGTTCCTGGTGCTGGGACTGCTGGGGTTGGTGCTGGCTGCCCAGTCTGCCTCCAGTCCTGGCCCAGTCTGCCTCCAGTGCCAGTCTCTCCTAGACAGAGGGCAGTGATTTCCCAGCCATGGGGCGCCCTGGGCTTGGGGGGCACGTCTGGATCAATGGGCCAAGGACAACGGGATGAGGTTTAATAAGGCCAAGTGCTGGGTCCTGCATTTTGGTCACAACAACCCCAGGCAGCACTACAGACTTGGGGCAGAGTGGCTGGAGCTGCCCGGAAGAAAAGGACCTGGGGGTGTTGGTGGACAGCAGGCTGAACAGGAGCCATCAGTGTGCCCAGGTGGCCAAGAAGGCCAATGGCATCCTGGCTCGTATCAAGAATAGCGTGGCCAGCAGGAGTAGGGAAGTCATCGTGCCTCTGTACTGGGCACTGGTGAGGCCTCACCTCGAGTACTGTGTTCAGTTCTGGGCCCCTCACTACAGGAAAGACATTGAAGTGCTGGAGCGTGTCCAGAGGAGAGCCACCAAGCTGGGGAGGGGTCTGGAGAACAAGTCCTATGAGGAGAGGCTGAGGGAACTGGGCATGTTGAGTTTGGAGAAGAGGAGGCTGAGGGGAGACCTCATTGCCCTCTACAACTCCCTGAAAGGAGGGTGTAGAGAGGCAGGTGTTGGCCTCTTCTCCCAAAGGACGAACGACAAGACCAGAGGAAATGGTCTGAAGTTGGGGCAGGGGAGATTTAGATTAGATATTAGAAAGAACTACTTTCCTGAGAGAGTGGTCAGGCCCTGGAACAGCCTGCCCAGGGAGGTGGTGGAGTCACCATCCCTGGAGGGATTTAAGAAACGTATAGACATGGCTCTTCAGGGCATGCTCTAGTGCCCAAGGTTATTGGTTTATGGTGAGGTGTTGAGTGTGGGGTTTAGTTGGTGGGTGCGGTGTTTTTGGTGGGCGTTTGGTGTGGTGTGTTTTTTTTGGTTTTTTTGTTTGTTTGTTTGTTTGTTGTTTTTTTTTGTGGTTGGACTCGATGATCTCAGAGGTCCCTTCCAACCACTAAGATTCTGTGATTCTGTCTGGCTCCCCAGAGCTGCCATCAGCATTTCCCCTCCTGGAAGAGGGGTGAAGCCGTGGGCAGAGGGGGGTGAGCAGCTGGGCTGTGTGTGCTGCCAAGGCATGCAGCTCAGATCCTCTCCCCGAGTAGTGCGTTCTAATTAAATATGCATAAATTGCAATGATGCAGCATTAAATAGCCGTTATCTGCTGCAGGATGCTCTGCCCGATGCCATCGCGGTGGAAGGCATGCTGCGGTGTGATCCCAGCATAACCTCTGCCTGGGCAGTGCTGTCAGGTGCTTGAAAATAGAGGGTTTCAGTGCCTTTTGGAGTTCTTTATGAGCTTTATTCAGAATTGCAGAATGACATGGGGTTGGAAGGGAGATCATCCAGTCCAACCCCCAGCCAGAGCAGGTCCCACAGGAACGTGTCCAGGCAGAGTTTGAATGTCTCCAGAGAAGGAGACTCCACCACCTCCCTGGGCAGCCTCTGCCAGGGCTCTGCCACCCTCACAGGAAAGAAGTTCCTCCTCATGTTTAGATGGAACTTCTTATGTTCAAGTGTGTGCCCATTTCCTCTTGTCCTGTCCCTGGGCACCACTGAAAAAAGACCGGCCCCATCCTCCTGACACCCACCCTTGAAGTATTTATAGGGGTTGATCAGATCCCCCCTCAGCCTTCTCTTCTCCAGACTAAACAGACCCAAGTCCCTCTGATGTTCCTCATCAGGGAGGTGTTCTAGTCCCCTCATCACCTTCGTAGCCATTTGCTGTCTCCTTTCCAGCAGTTTCCTGTCCTTCTTGAACTGGGGAGCCCAGAACTGGACCCAGAGCTCCAGATGTGGCCTCACTGGGGCAGAGCAGAGGGGCAGGATGACCTCCCTGAACCTGCTGCCCATGCTCTTCCTTATGCCCCCCAGAATGCCCTCTTGGCCACAAGGGCCCATTGCTGGCTCCTGGGCATCCTGTTGTCCACCAGGACTCCTAGGTCTTTCTCCTCAGAGCTGCTCTCCAGCAGGTCAGTCCCAAACCTGTCCTGTACTGCGTTCCTCCCCAGGTCCATCACCAGGTGCTACACCCTATGTTCCAGCACGGGCTGGTGTGATTCTCCATCTAAAAGTCAGGTCTTGAGCTCTGCAGAGCTGCTGCTTCAGGGCTCGGGGGGGCTCAGCGCCGCCCCTGGACTCCCCCTGCGTGGGGGAGAGGGTGTGGGGGCAGAGGGTGGGCTGCTGCAGGGGCACGAGGGTGTGTGGTGTGATTTCAGGTTGTGCAAAGAGCCTGTGATTGTGAAAGGGCCCTTTCCTCATCCCACTCCCCCCCGGGACGTCTCCGAGAAACCTAACCTGTCCTGTCCTGCGTTCCTCCCCAGGTCCAGCACCAGGTCCTACACCCTATGTTCCAGCACGGGCTGGTGTGATTCTCCATCTAAAAGGTCCTGAGCTCTGCAGAGCTGCTGCTTCAGGGCTCCGGGGGGCTCAGCGCCGCCCCTGGACTCCCCCTGTGTGGGGCAGAGGGTGTGGGGGCAGAGGGGGGGCTGCTGCAAGGGCACGAGGGTGTGTGGTGTGATTTGAGGTTGTGCAAAGAGCCCGTGATTGCGAAAGGGCCCTTTCCTCCTCCTGCTCCCCCCTGGGGACATCTCTCCCAGAAACCTTGGCACCGCCTGGGCTTGGGCTTTCCTGCAAGGAGCGGGGTGGGAAGGCTCATTTCCCGGCATTCTGGGGGCTGGCGATGGGGTGGGGAAGCAGGGCTGGCGCTTGTGTCCAGCTGGCTATTTTGGAAACCCATTTTGGTGGCAAAAAGGCTTCATCCAGCCAATCTGTATTAATAAAAATAGCCTTAAATAGTGGAGTGCGCTCTGGCTGCGGGGGGACGGCAGGGGCTCTCTTCTTGGGATTTGACTAAATGATTCCTGGATTGGGTTTACGTTTTGATTTTTATGATTTGACTTAGCAGTTTCCAGGCGAGGATTGAGGTTTTGCTGCCCCCCTGCTCCCACAGCTGCCCTCCCTGCCCGTGGGCCCCAGGCAGTGGGTCAGTCCCCAGCAATGGGGCAGAAGCCGTGGGTGGCAAAAAGGCTTCATCCAGCCAATCTGCATTAATAAAAATAGCCTTAAATAGTGCAGTGCGCTCTGGCTGCGGAGGGATGGCAGGGGCTCTCTTCTTGTGATTTGACTAAATGATTCCTGGATTGGGTTTACATTTTGATTCTTATGATTTGACTTAGCAGTTTCCAGGCGAGGATTGAGGTTTTGCTGCCCCCCTGCTCCTACAGGTGCCCTCCCTGCCCGTGGGCCCCAGGCAGTGGGTCAGTCCCCAGCAATGGGGCAGAAGCCGTGTGCTTTAGTGATGATGCTCCTTGTTTGTTGTGCAGGTGTCTATTTTTGTCAGTCAGGTTGACGGTTGGACAAGATGATCTTGAAGGTCCCTTCCAACCTAGAAGATTCTGTGATTCTGCTCCTCCCGTGTGGGAACGGGCTCCCCCCATCACAGCTCCTAAAACGCTCATTGCAGAAAGCATCTCCCTGTTTGAGCACAAGGGACTGTTTTCCCCCCGTGCGAGGTTTTATATTTATTTTCTTCCTTTGGCTAGGAGAAGAAGAAGAAGAAGAAGCACAAGAATAAGCTGTCCTCAGAGTCGGACTCAGCCAGCTCGGACTCGGACAGCGACGGGGCTCCGCCGGCCGGCAAGAGGAGCAAGCACTCGGGGAAGCCCAGCAAGGCTGAGAAGAAGAAGAAGAAAAAGAAGCATAAGAAGAAGCCCCGGGACTGAAGGGCACCCCGAGCCCCTGCTGTGCCCCACGAGGAGTGAGCACTGAACCAGAGTGTCCCCCTTGCTCCAGGGGCGAGTTTCCCTCTCTCCGAGTACCGCTCGCCGTGTGCCGTTACGGGTGGTGACTTTGAGACGAGTTGTCCCCCGTTTTCCTTCAGCCTGGGGTGACATTTTCTTCCATCAGCGAGCTCTCCTGCCAAAATTGGCTAATTACACCCCTTCGTCGGCACCTCTCCCGGCTCATAGCCTCCTGTTTTGCTGGGGAAGCTGCCAAGGGTGGCTCTTTGGCCAGTGTGACCAGCTTGCCCCCCCAGCCTGCATGACATCAGCCCCTGGCCCGTGGCCTGGAGAAGGTGGAGCTGGGCCACCGTGCTCTCCCTGCCCGTCCCCTCACTGTGCTTGGGGACAGGGGTGGCTGTTGCTGGGCCCCATGGGGGGGGCTGTGTCCCCCCCTGGCTGGTGACGGGGCAGAGCCTTGGCTTCGCTCCCCAAACTCCATCCCCAGCCTCACTCCCCGTGTCTGCAAACACTGGGGTGAAAGAGTGAGAAGCAAATGGGGAGAGTGGAGATATTTTAAGTAAACACGGACCGTGGTGTGTTTGCCGCCTTGGGAAGTGATGGAAAATAAATCTCTCCAATCTCCAGTTGTACTTTGAACCCCGTCTTGTCTTTGGCACGTTCTATGCTTCACCTTGAGCCGTGAAAAGATGGGGCTGGTTCATGGGAGGGGATGTGACCTGTGTTAAAGGTGGGTTTGGTTCTTTTTTTGAAGTCCTGGCTGCTCTCAGAGGCTCCCCCGGGGGCGGGAAGGGGGTGTGTGATGAGGTGACCCCTAGGAGAAGCCTGGTGCCTTCTGGTGAGGAGCAACTGGAGCATAAATCTTGTAACTGGAGCTGAAGGTCAGGGGGGATGGATGGCAGAGGGCCCGGCGTGGCTCCGGACCGCGGTGACACAGAGGAAGTGTGTGGGGAGCAGCGTGTCCCTGCCCGGGCAGATGTGCCACCCGGGGGGAGCTGGGTCACTGCGGGGAAGAGAGGGGGCTGGTGGCTTCCTGCTGGTGGCAACTCGGGGTTGCTGGTGGCATCTTGTCCCTTCTCCCCTCCTCTTGTCCCTTCTCCTTCCTCTTGTCCCTTCTCCCTCCTCTTGTCCCTTTCCAGTGCTTCTCACCCCAGCTCCCTGTGGCCGAGTGTCCCCCCCCCTTTTTGGCCCAGTTCCCTTCCTGGCCCCAGACACTAAGTGACTGTGACCTTGGTTCCTGGCTCACCCAACGTGCCCCATCAGCTGGTGCTTTGGCAGGGAGCACTGGTCTGTACTGGTGGGGGAAGGATCCTCTGGCTGGGATGGAGCGTGGCTGGGGCCGGGAGGAGCTGCCGTGGGAGCAAACTAATATTTCCCCCCCCCCAGGAAAAGCACATTTCTAACCATAATGAACTCTCTTATTTCCACAGCTTGGAGAACCAGCTGCGATGGGCTACTGGGATCACTGGCCGTTTAACTCCATCACTGCCAGGATGGATTTAACCCCCACGCTGCTCCCCACAGCCTGGCTGGGACCCCTGGGACTCATTGGGGTGAGCACATGCCAAAAAAAGCCTTTTTTTTCCAAGTAAACTGCTGACCAGGTTGTAACAACACGACCTTTATTATTTTTCCACGTGGGTTTTCCCATTATTTAATAAAAAAAACAACAAAACCCCCCCCCCCCAAACCACAAAGCCTCCACCCAAGCCCCAGGCGGCCCCGGGGAGGTGACGGGGGCAGCCCTGGGGGGCACGGGGGGCTCGGGGCCCACGGCCAGCCCTGCCCGGTGTGGGGCGAGGATGGGGGCGATGGGGGACGGGGGCGAATGCGGCACCGGGGGACGGGTGGGGGACGTGGGGACGGCGTCCTATGTGGCCTTCTCGTAGGTGCGGGTGGAGACGACGTTGCCCATGGTGAGGGTCTGGTGGCAGAAATGGCAGTGGGAGGGGGTTAGTCATGCTGAGCCAGTACAGCTCCCAGTTTGCCCCATTCTGGGCTGAACCTCCCCAGTTTCAAACCCTTTCTATGTCCTTACCAGAACTAATTTCCCGTCCTTCAGCTCCCGCACCAGCGATGTCTCCTTCCCCTCCCACTTCTGCACGTGGATGAGTTTGCCCCCATCCAGCGTCACCACGGACTGTGGGGAGAGAGCAAGACCCACCATTACCCTCCTCCCTGGGGGGGGGTGGGCTCTGGGGGGGCTGTGTCCCTCGGAGGGGACGGTACCTGGTGTCCTTGTGCTCGCCCTGGAGCCCTGCGGGGCTCAGGGTCAGGCTGTGGGTGCCACCCGTGGGATGCCCACCTGGCAGCATCCCTTTTGGCTTTGTCAGCCCAGTTCAGCTCAGAATCACAGAATCACCATGGTTGGAAGGGACCTTAAAGATCATCTTGTCCAACCATCAACCCAACTGACAAAAATAGACACCCACACAACAAACAAGGAGCATCATCACTAAACCAGACCTCCCAGCACTACATCAACCCGGCTTTTGAACACCTCCAGGGATGGGGCCTCAACCCCCTCCCTGGGCAGCCCATTCCAGTGTCTGATAACCCTTTCAGTGAAAAAATTTTTCATAATATCCAGCCTGAACCTCCCCTGGGGCAACTTGAGGCCGTTTCCTCTCGTCCTGTCGCCTGTGACTTGAGAAAAGAGACCGACCCCCACCTCTCTACACCCTCCTTTCAGGGAGTTGGAGAGAGCAATAAGGTCTCCCCTCAGCCTCCTCTTCTCCAGGCTGAACCCCCCCAGCTCCCTCAGCCTCTCCTCACAAGACTTCTTCTCCAGACCCCTCACCAGCTTTGTTGCCCTTCTCTGGCCCCGCTCCAGCACCTCAATGTCTTTTTTATGGTAGGGGGCCCAAAACTGGACACAGTACTCAGGCTGGATCCTGCTCTGGCCACCCCCCAGTGTCCCCACCATGGCCACCCTCACGGTGACCTTGCCCTCCCTGACCCAGGGAGTCCTGCCCGGGGCCGTGTCTTGCTCTGGGGCTACCAGGATCTGATCCTGGCCGCTCCCAAGCACAGCTCCGGAGCCGGAGGGGATCCAAGAGGTGGGGCAGGTATGGGTGCATGAAACCAGAGGGTCTGGTGAGGCTTTTCGGGGGGGGCTGAGGGGGCAAACACGCCTCTGCTCGCCGGGGCCGCTGTTTGCTCAGCAGCTGCTGTTGGCTCAGCCCCAAAAGCCAGTGCCAAGGTTGGTGTGACAACAGGCTGGGCACAGCGGGGGACAGGCAGAGCCCCCCTGTGCCCCCCACCCAGCTCCTCCAGAGCCAGGTGCTGCCCTACAGGTCTCCCCACGGCTTAGGGGTCCCATGGCTTGGGACCTCCCATGGCTTGGGTGCCCCCATCGGTTTGGTTTCCCCACAACTTGGGTGCCCCCATAGCTCAGGTGCCCCCCATGGTTCAGGGCACCCTTCCCCAGAGCCACATCTTCTCACAGCTGGGGTGTTCCCACCCAATGGGTGCCCCACATGGCTTGGGGACCCCCCCAGAGCTCAGGTCGCCCCACAGCTGGGGTGTCCCCACCCAACAGGTGCCCCACATGGCTTGGGGACCCCCCCAGAGCTCAGGTCACCCCACAGCTGGGGTGTCTCCACCCAATGGGTGCCCCACGTGGCTTGGGGACCTCCACAGCTGGAGTTTCCCCACCCAGTGGGTGCCCCACATGGCTTGGGGACCCCCCCAGAGCTCAGGTCGCCCCACAGCTGGGGTGTCCCCACCCAACAGGTGCCCCACATGGCTTGGGGACCCCCCCAGAGCTCAGGTCACCCCACAGCCGAGGTGTCCCCAGCCAATGGGTGCCCCACATGGCTTGGAGATCCCCCCAGAGCTCAGGTCAGCCCACAGCCGAGGTGTCCCCAGCCAATGGGTGCCCCACATGGCTTGGGGACCTCCACAGAGCTCAGGTCAGCCCACAGCCGAGGTGTCCCCACCCAACGGGTGCCGCACATGGCTTGGGGACCTCCACAGAGCTCAGGTCAGCCCACAGCCGAGGTGTCCCCAGCCAATGGGTGCCCCACATGGCTTGGGGACCCCTCCAGAGCTCAGGTCGCCCCACAGCTGGGGTGTCCCCACCACTCAGCCACCCCACACAGCTTGGGTGCCCCAGAGCCAGGATCTCTGCACACCTCGGGTCTCCCCAAAACTCATCTCCCCACACAGCTCAGGTGCCCCACAGCCCTGGACCCCACACATCCTGGGTGCCCCAGGGTTTGGACAGCCCGTGTACCCCGGGGCGTGCAGCCCGTGGCTCAGGCAGCTCTCCTGGCCCCGCTGCCCTGCCGTGTGCCCTCTGGCCACCATCCCAGGGGTGGCTGAAGGACATGTCCCCGGGCAGGAGCTGGCAGCAGGTCACACGTCTCCTCTGGACATACTTTCCAGCAGCAGGAGGGTCGGGGTGGTGGCAGGGACGTGCCTCTGCCTGGCACTGCCCTCTCGCTCGCACCCGTCCCACCTCGTGCCCAGCCCTTGCCCTTGCTCCTTCGGGGCCAGGAAGGGGTTTTGTGCCCAACGAACCCTGAGGTCCCCTCCCTGAGGTCCCCCCTGGGGACACGGGGCTGCCAGCTCCACCACGGTGTGTTTAATGGTGTGTGGCAGCTGGGAAACTGGGAAAAAGCAGGAGCAGGGCTGGGAGGGAGTGTGTCTCTGCGGGTGGGACAAGCCGTGGAAGAAGCTCTGACTCCTCCAAAAGCCCTTTTTTCTTGCTCTTATGGGGAGGGACAGCCCAAGGGGGGGGTATTGCCCCCCACCCCCAGGAGGCATCACCCCAGGGGTGGCGTTGGCCCAGGCAGGGTTGCCCAGTGGCTCTGTCCCTGCAGAGCTGCCCCCTTTGGAGGGCGAGCAAAGAGGGGGCTCAGAGGTGGGGATCCCTGTCCCCCTCCCAGAGCGGGGACAACACTTCCCACCACCCCACCACCTCCTTTCGCTTCCTCTTGAGCAACCCCCCCCGGGGTGGGCAGTTGGTGTTGGCAAGCATGGTTCTTGCACAACCTTCCTGGCAGCCGTGGGGCCCCCTCCTGCCCCCCCCGGGGGGGGGAAACCCCACTGCAAAATGGGGTGACAAGGTGGGGGGTGGGTGGGTGAGACCAGGCTCGAGCACCAGCCCCCGCGGGCAAAGGGGTTTTCCCCTTGGGAAGGCAAAAAGGCTGGAGCCCCAGTGCCAAGAGCTGATGGGGGGATCCAGCAGAGCCCCCAGACCCTTTTTGGGGGGGTGTCCCATGGTGGGGGGTGAGGGGGGGCTCACCTTGACGTGCCTGTCGTCCGCCGTGGTCTCGTCAAACTCCTCGCCCAGCTTGAAGCTGATCTCCGTGTTCTTGAAGGTGCTTTGGGTCTTCACCGTCACCTTGTCTCCATCCACCTCGATGATGGTGGTGGGTTTGGTGAGCCCGGCCATCTGCCGGGTGGCGAAGCCCACGCCTGCGGGGTGCGAGGTTTGGGGGGTAGGGGGGTGCTGAGGGTGCGTGGGGGGGCAGGATGTGGCCCTCAGCCCTGCCAGCATCTCCCCAC